TCAATTTATTCCAGGCCCTCTCACCTTACATGCCTTCTCTAATTTAGATTAGGCAGGTAACTCTCTTGATCGCAGATCAACTACTGATTATTGTGTCTTTTTAGGTCCGAATTTGATTTCATGGTCAGCAAATAAACAGCCCACTGTCTCCAACTCTTCAACTGAGTGTAGACTTGACTTTCTTCACGCCCCCTTTCGGAGAGCTCGAATTGGTCCTACAATTCGGACTCCTATCACGGTTCTGAATCTAATCTCACAAAGTGCAATGTGAGACTGATAAACACCAAAGAGTCCAATCCGGCGAATCGTTTCGAAAAATCAGATTTTGAATCAAAAAATGCCAAAACTCGACTACTTTGCCAGATTACATAGGCGCTACCTAAATATTTTATTTTGAAGAAATTTAGAAAACCCTGACTCGTGCCAAAGGCCACCTGTCTGTCATCACCAAAGTTGCCTCGGCTCAGAAACTTGGGTACGAAAGGGGAAGGTCATGAAACGAGCACCCCCGCTCACCCGATCAAAGGATCGGCCTTTACTAAGCATGATATGTTGTTTTATAAACACATGTGTTCTTATTCCAGTTATTAGCTCACTTTACTATGTGACGCACACATACAAGTATAGACTAAGCCGCGAGAATTGGAACAAAACAATTCATGTTTATTTTTTTAAATGGTTTGAAGGTGCCACTATCAAGTGGGCTAAAACACGGATTTGCCACCCTCGGGTGGGCTTAAAACATGATTTGCCACTTCACAAAGTGGGCTTAAAACTCACATTTATCGAATTGTCCCAATTCAAACAATCAAGCCTTCATCCACAGGCATTCATGCAGTTAAGCAAATAGCCTCATGGCAAGCATGCTATCATGGCAACATGGCAATCGCACTCATGCAAGCTTGCTAAAGCATAAAACTCACCGAGTACTTCAAGCCAAAACAAAAACTAGTTAGAAATATGCATGATCCTAACTATACAAAATGCATAATACAACACATGCAATAATGTAACTAAATAGGCTCGGCTATCAAAGATGGCATATAAATGTAACAATTTGATAACATGCTTTGAAACACGTAGTCAAATAAGTATTGAAATACAATGCAGTTTGAATGATGCGTCGAGCCTCGGTGCATGCAAGACAAATGAATTATGCAAACATGCGAGCATAAGGTATGCTAATCAAAATGTGCCTTAAACTAACCATCGAAAGTGGCTAAGTAAAAGGGAGAAAGAAATGGGGTTGAAAACATGCACGCACACACACATGCTTATTACAACATTGCACCCTTGCGAAAGAGGGTCCGAATAAATAATTAGTTAAGCTACTCTAAGCTAAGCTAATTAAACTAATTAGACTAATTATTACAACACAATAAAGAAAATAACTAAGCTAAGCTACTTAATTATTACAACACTTAACTTATTAGCAAACTAATTAATTAAATTACAAATTCATGCTAACTAAGCATGTAAAGAACTAACTACACTGCCTCAGCTCTGCTTTAAGAAGTTGAACATGCATGCATTCGATTTTCGCCCCGAAATGCCTTCCGGATTGCTCTTGAGAGGCTCTGTTTGCAGGGTTGCTCCAAGAACTTTCTGCTCCACCTTACCAATTCACTGCTGCGGAATGCACCAGTGACCTACCGGCCATGAGTGCTTGTTGCCGACCATCTGCCGGCCAAAAGTGTGCTATGCTAGCCAAGGATGAAGCCACTGCCGGCCATCAGTGAGCCACTGTCGGCCACTGGTGTGCTGAAGCACTAAATTGCAACAGAGCACAGACAGAGGAAAATTGAGGGTTTTCCAAGGATATGTTTGTACTATGCTCCTCTTTATCATCTCAAAACATCAAAGGAGTGGCATTCTTGGATCCAAAACCACCAATCAAGTATTTTCAATGCATGATGGCCAAAGATCCAAATTGTACACTTTAAATAAATGCACGAAAATAAGACTCAAAGGACCACCACCCTATCATGCATGATCAAGGGTGATGGAGACAAAGGAGATTGGCTCATTTCATCACTTTGACTATGAAATGGACCAATCTACCTTGTGTTCAATATAACATCCAATTGAACACATGCAATGCAAGCACAACATGCTTATCTTAGTCTTGTTTTACTTGTCCAATTCTTGTTTACACATTTTAGCATTGCCAAGCCATTCTTTAGTCAATTTGTCCAAGTTGAGTGTCCTTTAATGAGAGAGGGGTCAACCAAAAGATGGCTTAAGACATGAGAGAGATCATGCCTTTGGTTAGTAGAAACCCCAAAAGAGAGTTAAAACTATTGAGCATAAGCTCTATCTCAAGCTTAAATACAACCTTAAGGTTAACCAACCCTCAAAAAAAATGAAAAGTGAAGAAATGAAGGAGGCTGCAGACTTTTCAATGCTGAAATGGTATGCAAAATATTACTATAACATGCAAACAACTCATGTACAACATGTTAAGAGTCAAAAATACTAAAACTAGTGAAGAGCACTACACTAGAGGCATGCAATATCAAGCTCAAATGATCAAATCAGCTCAAAATAGAGCTACAACATGCCAAAATAGTGGTTTAAACATACTGAAATAGTAGCATAGAAGGTAAGAAAAACATGCTCACATGTTGGCTCATAAACAAGGCTCAAAGCACAATTCTCAAAAGCAATGAAAGAGTGAGACAAGTGAGAGTGTGACAGAAATATATGCACTGAAATTACATGTTAAATGATGCTACAACATGCAATCAACACATGCAAAACATGTTAGAGGCCTTAAAACACAAAGCTAGTAAAGGCCATTTGCACTATAGCTATGCAAGGCAAGGCTCATATGACCAAGAGGGCTCAAAACAGAGCTAAAGCATGCTAAATTAGTAGCAAAAACATGTTGAGATCAAGTCACAAATAGGTAGAAAAACATGCTCACATGCTAGGCCATCTACACTTGCAAACAAGACAAAAGGAAGGAAGGCCACCCCCTCCTATTTTGGACCTCAAAACCAAGTTTTTACCACTGAAATTCCTCTGGAATTCAGTGATTAAAAGGCCAAAAAAAGGTTGTTTAAAAAGCTTGAAAAGTGGCACAACACTTAACCAAACAAACTACAAAAAAGGTGAAGCACCCCTAACTCCAAACCAAACCTCAAACCACTATTTTAAACCATAAAAATAGAGATCTTAGAGATCAAAACCAGCCTCAAAATAGCATGCAAAGATGGCCAAACAAGTATTTAAATTAAGCTAAAAATACAAGAAGTTCTGCCTCTTTGAAGAGAAGATGTTATATAGGCAACAAAGGCAAGCCAAACCAAGCTAAAACCCTCTTTTAGAGCTTAAATAGGACCTCAAGCAACCTCAACACAAAGATGACCAAGTTTGATCAAGAGCTCATAAGCAAAAGTGTAGAGAATTCAAGCTTTAAGGCAAAATATTTAGAGAGAGAGGATTCTAAAGAGAGAGAATCTTTTGTCTTCCGAAATTTTCAACCCTTTGCATGCAAGAGGAAGGCCTCTATATATAGAAGATATAAAATTCTCTTGAAAAGATCCAACCATCCACGTGCAAGCAGATGCTCCAACCTGTGCAAACAGCTGGCACAAAATATCAAAAAATATCTACTGATGCACTGGTGAGCGACCGACAATCATTGATGGCTGACAGCGGCTCATTGATGGCCGACAGGGCACATCAATGGCCGGCAGGCCAAAGTCCATGGCCAGCAGTGCCCAAAAGTGGCCGGCAGTGCTCCAAAAGCAACATGCTAAAAGAACCAAAACATGGTCCAAAACTGAGATAGAACTGATGCAGGGTGTGAAAAGCTCAAACCTGTGACGCTCCACCGCGGAGTTCGAGCGCTCGACGAGCAATCAAACTTGTCACTAGATGTACCTGCAAGAACATCTAAGTCTTGAGGACGGTCAAAAATGGGTTGTCTACACTGAGGCTGAATACAGAGCTCTTGCTCAGACAGCTACTGAACTTGGCTGGCTTGGTATGCTTTTGTCTGACTTTCATATCTCAATGCCAGCTCCCACTCTCTGGTGTGACAATATGTCTGCAATCTCATTGTCAAACAATCTTGTTTTTCATGCAAGATCCAAGCACATTGAAGTAGATTATCATTATGATAGAGAGAGAGAGTTGCAACCAAGAAACTTCATATTCATCGCATCTTTTCTATGGATCAACTTGCTGATTTATTTATTGAGCCTTCTTCATCTCCTCGATTTCTTTTTCTTCAGAACAAGCTTCTGGGTCATCATTCTCCCATAAGCTTACGGGGGCATGATAAGGAGCTCAGCCAAAACCAAGAATAGGAGCTGAGTCACAGTCACAAGTCCAGCTTAACTGAATTAGTTAGGCAGTTATAGTTAACTAGAGTCAAATGGAGTTGTTATTGTTTCATTAGATATAACTATGGTTAATTAGCAGTTATACTAACATGTATAAAATATACAAACTCTGTAATTGATTGTATCGAATAACACAAATTCGGTTTTCCTTTAGCAAGTATAAAGGAAGACTTGAGGAAGAAGAAAAGGAATCAATCATCATCAACCACTCACAAATCGTGAAAATTATTTAAGAGTAGTTAAGTTAGCCATTTTTAGGAGTATATTAAGTGATAGTTTTTCCAACCTTCATTTCTTTTCTTCTATCGATTGTTGTGTTTTTTTAATTTTTTGTTCTTATTTAAGTTCTTATAATTGATAGCAAGTGACAATCTATTTGAATTAATACATAAGTTTTGTTCCATTTTTTCTTTATTTAATTACCTCCAAAGAATCCTTAATCTATTTAAGACATAGAATTTAACCACAAAATCTGATCTTTGTATTTTGTGAAAATTAATTTAAATTAATCATTGTCGAATAGGTTTCAACCAAATTTTTATCAACAATAAAAATAATGTAACTTCACTTGACAAGAATTGTATGTCAATTATATGGAGATTGGAATATTTTATAATATAATATTACTTCACTCCAAATAATGTGAACTTAAAACAATTGAAAGTTTAATACTATTGAAAGAATAAATTCTTGACCCCTTCTATTACATGGTAATTTTCATGAATAGGAACGTAATAATAAAATGAAAACAAAAGGAATTATAAAAAATGAGAAATTATAAGAAAACAACAACAATGTTGAACAACTCTTAACAATGGGGTAGATCTCGTGGAGGCGGAGGCAACGTAGTTGATGCTGTTGGCCCGTTCTCAACCACAAAAGCCATTGCTAGACCCCACGGTAAGTGCACATCCATATGACAATGCATCAACCATACACCTATATCCATCAAAATTTTCAAAAAAGCATTAATCAAAATACATACAATACATATGTACGTTACACACGTAATTGAATATCTATTAGAAGATTGTTAAAATTGTATCCATGATCGATGATTGCCTAGTCATTAAGCAACTGTATATATATTAAGATGATAAATCCATGCATGATTGACGATAACTGCTTACCAGGATTGTTTGCCTGAAATCTTAAGACAGCCCATCCTCCAGTCGGAACGCCAATGGTGTTACGTGCTTGTGGATTGACAAGATTGAACTTTTTGGGATCATTTATTGGGTCATAATTACCAAACCCTTGAGCCAACACATGGAAGTTGACTCCATGCAAGTGCATAGGGTGATTTTCTATACCCAACGAGGCAGTGTTCTGCAAAACCATCTCAACAGTTGAATTGAACTTAAGTTTCTTTACTTTTGTTGACTTTGACGTCATTATGATCGTCCTGTTGAAGTTGTTGTTTGAATTTGTGTAGTTAAACACCAATGGTGGTTGGTCGGGGAAATCAGTAGTGTAAATCCCATCAACATTGTTGAAGAAGGCTTGCAACATCGACAACTTAGTGGGAAACTGAAAAGACGCATTGTTCATGCTCGCAGCTAATCGTTCCCCAAGTGGTCCTCCACAAGTGGCATTTCCATCGCATGGAATTAGGCCCAAGTTTATTGTCACAAACATGTGTTCATCGACTTTGAGTGGGACTGGGATCCAATGAGGTGCATTCACGAGCACAGTCAGACTACTATAGAATTTATGGGCCGCTGGTGTGTCATTGAAAGCTGGTAAGACTGGCATTTGTGGGGTTGATTGCGTGGAATTTTCATAAATGATGATCGCGGTGGTAGAGGTGGTAGTGTCAGGTTGACCTGGCGTACTAACATAGGTATGTGCTGCCATGTAGTAAGATGCCGGTTGTTGGTTCGCAGTAAGTAGTACGTCGGCAGTTTGGCCAGGAGCAATGACTATGTAATCGGTAACCATCGGAGTAGTGTAACTAGCGTCAACAGCAACAACGGTCATGTTGTGGTTGGCTATCTTGAAGAAGAATTGATTATTCATTGCAGCATTAATGATACGTAGGAGATATGTTTTTCCTCGTACCACCTTTAACTTATATGTGCCTAAGAAGAGAAAAAACAGAACAAAAAAACAACCATGTCATATAAAATTGGGAGATGGATCAAGTAAAAACTTAGACTAAACATTTTGCCATGTAACTTGTTTGCATTATTGGAGAGTGAAATATGTCATGTTAGTACTTACTATTTGAAGAGCAATTGTAGAGATCGCCAGGTTGACCATTGATTGTAAAAGCATTGGAACCAGTAGGTGGACTGCCGTTTGCAAGTGCAATGTTCTCAATGTCAATAACATTACCATTCCAATACTCTCCTACAAATCACAATTTAGCAAACTGTCACATTTTGAAAATCTCTTGCTGCGTGAAGATTTATATACTATTAACTTATTTTTTATTATTTCAGATTTTGATGTGTTTAAAATATGCTTTCTAATCGTCTTGAAATAATAAATATATTTTGTAATCTTCAAGAAATTTCAAATAGGTTTTATAATCTTCTAGAAGTCCTTAGAAAAGTGTTGGTACCAAAAAGAATTGGGAATTCTCTGTATGGTTTTGGAAATGGATATGAGTGACCAGCTCTTGGACGAATGATTAGTGCCCCGTGAACTGTTGCACGAAGCCACTGTGAGTGTGCATGCCACCAAAGGGTTCCTTCTTGTCCGGTGATTTTGAATTTGTAAGTATAGCTATTTCCAGGGTGAATTGGACATTGAGTTACATATTCAGGTCCATCTGCCCAGCCACTTAATAATTGAAAAATCCCGTGCCTACATACATATTAAAGCACTACTATAAGCAATGGTAATAATAATCCTAATTGTAATTATGATAATATTATTAAGAACACAAACTTCTGCGATTGATTGGGGTTATTTTTTTTATCTTGTGTAGTAATTGTACAATTTTATAACAAAAATTAATGAGGAATTTTTGGGTGTCAAGAGGGTAGACACCATATGATACATTTTTCTATTGTGATTAGATTACATTTGTGTTGGCTATTTGAGAGATAATAAAAGGCATATGCATTTGTGATTAGTGGAAGGTATTACTTGACAATACCACATGATACCCTCTCAGCATATAAAATTTTTCAAGATCAATACATCACAAAGAGAACAAGCACTACAACAAAAAGCAGTTTTGGCGATCAAAAATGTAAATTTCGTCACTGAAAGTAGGACAATTGGCGACTAAAATTGAATTAGTAGCCAAAAGTGAAGACTTTTGGCGACTAAAACAGTTTAGTAGCCAAATGTGTACTTATTGGCGACTAAAAATTAGATTAGTCGCTGATTACATGGGTTTTAGCGACTAAAACAATTTTAGTAGCCAAAGGTGAAGGTTTTTGGCGACTAAAAAAGATTAGTAGCCAAAAGTATAGGCTTTGGCGACTAAAAAATGGTTTGGTCGCCGATGGTAGGTGTTTTACCGACAAAAAAAAATGTCGTAGCCAAATGTAAAGATTTTTGGCTACTAAAAAATTTTTAGTAGCTAAAAGTGGACAATTGGAGACTAAAATTGAGTTTAGTCGGCAAAAGTGGCGGTTTTGGCGACTAAAAATCAGTTTAGTCGCCGAAAGTGGTTATTTTTAGACGGAAATTAATTTTGTTAGCGACTAAATTATTGGTAGTAGCCAAAACTAAGGTTTTTGGCGACTAAAAAAAACTTTAGTCGCCAAAAGTGGCTCCCTTTTTTTTAATAATTAATTTTTTTTTACATAAATTAATATTGAATAAAAATAATTATATTTATATATATAGTTTTAAATTAATACGGGTCAATATACTATATAAATAATATATATTGTATATATATTCATGTGATCTTGTGGTGGCATAGTGGGGGGGAGTGTGTTGGTAAAGGTGTACAAAGTAGAAGGTCCGTGGTTCGAATCTCAGAAAAAGGAAAAAAGTTGGTAATTTTTTTTTTTTCACGGAAGCACCTTTGGCGACTAAAATTATTAGTTGCCAAAAGTCTTTATTTTGGCGACTAAATGGATTAGTTGGCGATTCAGTGAGTATTGGTGACTAAAGGATTAGTCGCTAAATGTATGATTTTGAAAAGTGTAAATCACTATTGGCGACTAAAATGTTGGTCGCGAAAGAGCTGCTTTTTGGCGACTAAAAAAGTTTTAGTCGCCAATACCTCTGCCGACCATCTATACGCGACAAAACCAGCGACTAAAAAAATTAGTCGGAAAAAGTAAAAAATCGACTTTTGGTGACTAAATTTGGCGACTAAAAATTTGGTCGCCAGAAGTGCTTTTTCTTGCAGTGAAGTAAACGTTACTTTTTTTAATGTTTAATTAAATATTAATAAATGGCCACTGTCTTGCCAAAAAAAAAAACCGGGATTTTGAACGGGATTTTGATTCTCTACATTTCATATATATAATGGAGAATTTTCATTGCATATCTAATGGTTATAAAATAAGCATGTAAATTTATAATTAAGTTAAATTAAAATAAATCATCACACTCATCATTAGATGATGTAATGGAATCTCTTCATTACAAACATGTAATGGAAAGAATCACAATCCAGAAAAACATATAATACATTCAAATTGTCAAGACCAGAACAATTTGTATTTTTTTAAAAAGTCAATGGTGTCATGTTTAATTATGTATCAAAATTGATCTAATTTGAGTTTTTTTTTTTTTTTTTTTTTTTTTTTTTTTTTTTTTTTTTTTTTTAAAGTTCAATTTGAAAAGTCATATTACCAGTGAATGGTAACGTTGTAAGGAGATTTATTATGGACACGAACGACAAGGGTATCACCCTCACGAACCCATATTGTTGGGCCAGGAAGGCCTCCATTCACAGCCGTGATGACATTTTGGTGGCAAAGCCGCTGAACGGTCAAATTTTTAACCTGAAACAATGTAAATTCAAATAAACTATGTTATAAAATTTAAAATTTCAAGTTTAAGAAACCATGCAGATATTCAGAAAATGAAATGAAATAAAACTATGGTATTCTTTAGTAGGTTGGTGAAGGGTATACGATCGACCACGAAGGTAACCTAATCTTCCAATAAGCAAGAAAGTGAGAACAAGATAGTCGATTTTGGGAGAAAATAAGCATTAATAACTATATGAACTGGTATTTGGGAATTAATTTTTTTTTTAATAATTTTTAATTTTTTATGAAAAGATATGAAAAAAATTAAGAGAATATGATTTGACAACTTATAATAACTATTTGATTATTTTAACTTCTCCCCAAATGGGGTGTAAGAATAACTAAGATAATATGGATTAACTGTAAGAGGCTCAATTGAAGCCTTTGAAAACCATTATGCGGCTCCCTAGCTAGCAACATGCACGAAGGTGTTTATGAAAAGAACAATTTATATATAGGAGAAACCATACGGACACAGAAAAATACAAAGAATAAACACATCAAGAGTGGCTCCTAAAACCCGGCGCAGAGCCATCCCTAAGGAATATGTACATCTAATATGTAGCGAAAAGCCGAAGATTGAGAAGAATGAAAGTAGAAAAAAAATTACTGAAATGGGTAAGAGAGGTTACTTCGAAAGAATGCTTCACAACTTCTGCAGAGGCCACTGACGAAGCTAGAAGAACTAGAGTACATGTTAGCAAGAACACAAGACGTGCCATGCCGTCGAACAAAACAATATATGAAGAGACAAAGAAACCAAGATCAGAAGAAGCTCCCTATCTCTCTCTGTCTGAAAGTGCTCAAGGTTGTTCTTAGGATGTGTTTGTTTTGCAATTCATGTATGTGAGGACTATATATATAGTAGTTTGTAGATAGACAAACCTTAGCCTTCCCCACGGTTGCGTGAGGAAAAGCAACAATGCGTTTTGACAGGTAATTGAAGAAACTATTAGAATATGTCAATGGAAACTTTTATATAAGAGCCAAAGTTGACGATCAATTGAAAACAACTAATAAAAAACATAAGTAAATCTTATAATCGTAGAATCTTTAACGGTTGTTAAAGAAAATAACCACTTTGAATGTTACATTTTCATTGTTTTTGTCCTTTGATAATCGGTAAAAAAATAAGAAAAAGAGGATGATGCATGCTGTAACGATGAAATTTAAACTTAGATATTTTATGTTTGGTAAAGTTTTTCATACACCAGGTAATCCCTTGGTCTATCATTATCATACTTAACATATGCGACTAACTTGTTGGAAGTTCTCTTTTTTTTTTCTTTTTTTGTTCCCTTCAAATTACGTCATTGTTTTTAAATTCTATATTCATCAAAACTAAACGAGGCTCAAAATTTAAGAAGAAAAAATCAAAACAAAACAAAAAAAGAAGTTAAAATAAACACTTTTAAGTTATTTTTTACACTTCCAATTTTTATTTTATTTTATTTTTTTGCACAAAAATAAAAGTGAAGAATGTTTTATGAATTTTTCATTATTTTTCTTTTTATTTCTGAAAACATAAAAAATAAAAATAGCAATTTTATTTTTTAAAATGATCCGCAACAATTTGAGGGATACAAGGCGTACTGTGATGAAATGGGGATAATATAGTTTTTTTTTTTTTGGGTGAATAAGGGGATAATATAGTTAGTTTTTCTCATCACGGCCATTTTTTAACAATGATCTATATCTATCTATTTATATTATTATTAAGTGAAGGTTTCAACTAATATAGTGAAACTTTTAATCATCATTATGTGCTGTGGCAGTTGAGTGGATCAGATCAGATTGGAACATTCTGGTTGAGAATGGTTTTGTTATCTGCTAATGGCTGCTGTAATGGCTTGGTATTGGGCTGCTAATGGTTGCTGCTGCAGTGCTACTCTTGGTATTGCTGTTGCTTGGTGCTGTGCTGTTGTAATGGCTTTGGTGCTGTTTTGATATAATTGGTTTTGTTTGTTTTGGTCTTTGAAATCAGAGGTTAGCTGCTGCTGTGTGTTGTTTTTCCTTGTCTTTGGTTGGCTTTTTGTCAACTCTGGATGGTGTGCTAACAAGGGATTGGGCGAGCATATTAATGCCAACCTAATTGGGATTAGTATGTCTTACTATGATGCTTTTTGCATCCATTCTTTTTCCTTTCTTGATGTAATGTGTTCTTGTTTCATTAATAAAGGTTATTTTTTTGTCGATCAAAAAAAAAAAACATGGCAAAAAAATTTATTTTTAATAAAAAAAAAAAGTTACATAAAGAGGTGATCAAATTCAAATTCATGACCATGAGGTTAAAATAAGGAGATTCATACCACTGAATAAAGTATACATTCTAATATTAATTTTATTATTATTATTTGTTCTTGCTTATTTAATCCCTCTAGTTTTAATTAAAAGAGTCATAATTTTAAATTTTTCAAGTCTATGCCACTACCATATTGTGACCAATTATAAAAAAATAAATAAATAAATAAGAGCTTTCCAGCCTGCCATGTGCTTACCTAGGTTTTCAAGCCTGCAAGCACGGGACTCACCATTATGGTGGAATTAGATCTGGATGAAGATAGTGATTATTGACATTAACAACTAATTGAATTATTCAACCCAAAAATTAAAAATTAAAAAAAGCAAATGAAAGATAGTAATAAGACAATTAAATTGGTAAAAATAATTGAATTCGACAGTGCCAATGGGCAACATTTTTTAAAAAAGTAACGTTGAACACACTGATTAAAAAAATTAAAAATAAATAGTGGCCCCTATTGATTGACTTCACTTTTGCAATCCAAGCTTTCCACATATATTTGATATGATGGGAAATTGATTTATTAGTGATTCGATCAATATATTATTTTACATTTTTTTTAAAATTGAATTTCTCGCATATTTACATTTCATGAGGAAAAAAAAAATATTTTTTTTAAAGACAAATATGATAAATTAAAAAGTTATAATTTTTTAACCGAAGTAATTTTATTTTATATATGATAGATTGAGAACTTTATAAAATGAACGTTTTAAATTATCGAAATTGGACCAGTAGTGGGGCCCCACAAACCCCTCCAATTTTTTTATATTGAAATTAAGACTACAAATGAACAAAATCGTTCATGAACAGATTTAAGCTTGGCTCGATAAGAGTTTATTTAAACTCGGTTCGTTAAGTTTTTTTTTTTTACGTTCGAGTGCGAATTCAAACTCAATAAAATTTTAATAAACAAGTCCAAACATACTAAAACTCGGCTCGTAAACTCAACTCGTTAGCTGGCTCATTTAACATTTATTATTTATATATAAAAAATATAAAAATATGTATAAAAAATAAGATAATTATGTTATTTATATATTTAAAAATGTAAATGTAAATAATAGCTAATCACTATAAGAAATTGCACTTTTGTCGACTAAAAATTTAGTCAGCAAAAGTCTACTTTTAGTTGGCAAAAGTTATCGCGACCAATTTTTTTTGTCGCCACTTTGGTCGCCAATTGAGGGTCGGCAAAAGTAATTAGCGACCAAAACTTTTGTTAGTCAGGAAAAAGTTGTATTTGCCGACTAAATTTTTGGTCGCTAAATATATCATTATCGCGACTAATCCATTTACTTGCTAAAACACTTTAGTCGCAAAAAGTGACATATTCCCAACCAAACATGTTAGTCGCCAATTGTCACATTCCACGACCAAAATGTTTGGTCGCCAATTGTCACATTCCATAACCAAAAAGTTTGATCGCCAATTATCACTCTCCACAACTAAAAAGTTTGGTCGCCAATTGTGACATTCCACGACCAAAAATTTTGGTCACCAATTGTGGCATTCTACGACCTCTTAGTTTGGTCGCCAATTGTCACATTCCATGACCAAAAACTTTGGTTGCACAAAAGGAATGTTTGCGCCAACATGCAACAAAATAAACTTGTAATTCATAATAATCTATCCAATCCACTCAATACAATCTGTAATTTGCAATAATCAATCAAACCAACAATTGACCTGAATCATGGACATTCAACAAAATATATAAATCATCAAATTTTGAATCTGTTTATTAAAGTCAACAACTATTATAAGTTTTCATCTACAAGTAATTCCAAACTACATATTCTTTCAATTAAAAATCCTCTTGTAATCTATATAATCATCTAATTCACATTCATCTAGTATTAAAATTTATAACATAACATGTACTTGCTATTATGTTATAAATTTTTATCCATGTGCATCAATCAAAAAATATAACTAGTAGTCTACCAAATATTTTCTATACACACCCATCCAAAAATATAACTAGTCTATCCAAAAATATAACTACTAGTCTACCAAAATATTTTTCATACACATCTATCCAAAAATATATAATCCTTCCAAAAATGCTTATAGTGCCAATTAGTCCTGTACAATTTAGCTTCGTGCACGAGTTCATCTATCTGTACCAAAGAAAAAGAGAAATTATGTTATGTAACACCCTCAAAATAAACCCATAATTCATACATTCATGATACAAGAAACGGACAATACATTCCATAAATCAGAGTGTTTACTACAAAAGTGTTACATGTTGACAACAAAAGTAAATGCCCTACGGGCTTACAACTTTTCAAGTCAACACTTGGGTTCAACAAAAGAAGAGTTTAACTCTTTATACAAAATAAGTCCTTGGCTTGATTTACATATAACACAAAGATAACATCAAAAAGATTTTCCAGTCACTAGACCTCCCAAGCTATGTCCTTAGAGGTTGTATATCACCTGAACCTGAAAATGATGTCCCATAAAGGGTTTTTTTTTGGGGGGTGAATAAGAGATAAAATAGAATAGAGAAATTTACACAAATACAATGGGCAAACCCCAGGCCCTACCACAAACTACAACAACAACTCAAAAGAAACACTAAACTAAACTAAAATATTAAAAGAAATTACATTACAGCTGCCACCATACTTTAAAACCTGCCATAACCAAAATCAAGAACTCGAACAAACAAACCAACCGAGCAGACCATATAACTTGTTCAAGAACTATGTCCCAAACAGATAGGGGTCTTGAACAATAACTTTACCAGCCTAAAAGTAGCCCTGATTCATCAAGAGCACAACATTCACCGTGAAATCCCTATAGTCCAGCCCTATTCTAAGACTCCAGCATATCCAACATAAAACACAAACAGCCCAAAGAGGGGAACTATTTACAATATTCAAAGAAACCAACAAACCAGAGAAGAATATATACAACCTGAAAGTAAGACAACTTATAGACCCATTGAAATGTCTAGACAAGGCGCAACTTGCAGCCATTGCCAAATAGCATCTCCAAACCAAATACATCTGCCAAGAAGGGCGCAAATTGCAGCCACCACCACACCACATACAAATTTTAAATAAACCTGCCCAATGAGAAGGAAAATAAGTGCCAAGATTACATGTGTTATCATAGAGAAAAAGGAATATCATACTAAGTATGTGAGACCTCCCTTCACTCGACCCACATCTAATAATAACACTTCACTCATTATGGTTTCTCACTGTACTAGGCCCACACCTCTCCAATTCACTCATAATCTCAATTGAACTACTGTATATAAGAGTTTCCTTAACCTGCACATAAAAATTATAATATATAATAGTAGTTAGAAATAATGTTATGAACAACCTCGCATCCCTCAACCCACAGTTTAGGAATAATATATCTTGGCTCACAACACTCAACCCACACATGACAATGCCCGAACAAGCTAAGGAGTAGCAAGGTAGCATCTTTTTGAAGCAAACATCCATAATATCCATCTGCAAAAGAGCACCCACATTAGAAAGCCCTCGGTATATGCTCACCTTCACTCAACCC